CTGGTCTCACCTCCAGCAGACTTTTTGGCTTTGAGAGGCAACATACACCACATGTGAGTGTCACGTACTCCATCACTCCATTCACTGTGTCGCTGCCAGCCACAAATGGTGTGGAAAAGGCTCTACAGCTAACCCATGCTCTGGTGCTGGCTGCTCTGCCACTTGGGGCGTAAGATCTGGCTGACGCAATGTCACTTGAGTGGCAAAGAGGGAGTCTGCATGGAGCCTTCAGCAAATGCTAATAGGAGAATCCAAGCACAGGCCTCTAGGTTTTTGAGCAACTCCATACTCTCTTTTGAAGATGACTCTTCTCCTTTTGGGAAATAGATCCTGACATGTCACTCAGTTCTGGTAAGCCTGACTATATCACCAGGACTGGGTGCGGTGTGGTCCAGCAAGCCTGGGCCAGAGTCTGCACAGTGGCCACCTGCATCAAGCGGATGTGGGATAGAAGGGATAGGGACCGAGCAAGTTGGATAGGCACAAGCCAGTCCCTGAGCAGGTGGCCCAACTCTTGTGCCACCTGTGCCTGCTGTGAGGCTGCCTTTCTCTCAGTTTAGAACTTTGACTGCTTGGGAGCTCCTGTGACCCTCTGACTAGGAGGATGAAATTTTGGCAGTTTTCAGTTTATGCTGCTGAGTATACTTGTACCTGCCAGTTGCTACAAAAATCACTGAGCATTATAACCTTGACCCGAAATGTTTCTGAAAGATGCCAGTGCTTCTGAGGCAGAACTGAGGGGTGGTTTGGGTGTCTCCATGTCTTAGCTGACCACTCTCCAGAAGTATGGACCTAAACTAAGTCTGGCATTCAAGGGCAGTTACTAATGTTGGGTGGATGCTCAGAACTTGGAAAGAGCAGGTTAGAAGACAAGTGACAGGAAGGCCTGGGGGCGAGCTATGTGAAGGGACCTGTCAGAGTAGGTGGAGAGTCCAAGTTCAATTCCACTCCAGGTGAAGGCTGACTGGAGGCCAGAGTGCCACTGCGAGCATGTCCTTTGCAGACACACAGCTATGAGAATGTAATTACCCAGGAGACCCACTCTGCTGTCATCACTGTCCCCCAGCCAGGGCATGCTTCCCAAGAGCTGTACCCAGCACATGATGAGAATGGCAGCAATACTAAGGCAAGCTTACCCCTGGGGGTCACTGGTGGCAACTGACTTTGGCTTGAGGTCACCCTGATGACCTTGCTGAAGCTAAACTAACACAGAAGAGGCTCTCAGCAATCAGGACAAGAGGAGGGAAATTGTAGCTAATAATTAGCTTCTCTCTCCAGTCATGCCAAGGATTGCCCATTGGGTACTTGTACCTGCCTGCAGCTTACACAACAGTCCATGTCCTCATCTAATCCTGTCTTCCAGAGGTCTCATCTCCAAATATCATCACATTAGGGAGTAGGGGCATCCTCATATGAATTTGGGGTTGACACAAATGTTTAGTCTTTAACAGAGCGTGGCAGCACACTGATATATATGGGATTTACTAGTCTTGCTGTGCACTCCCTTCCCCAGAAACTGCTAGTCTGTTAGAACAGCAGAATGATCCGAAAATTCAGTTACTTACAGCTAAGGTTCTGTCTTGCAGGATGGCATAGGTGCTTTGAATCAGTAACCAATGAGTATGAATAAGACAAAATGGACCAGGAATTACTGGTGACGTGGGAGTGGTTCCTTTTACTATTGCACCTAATAATTCACTGAATTTCAGCACCCTGTTGCTGCAACTGTTGCGGTCTGATAGTCTGGAAGTCTTGGTTACCAAGGGAGGAAGGCTTTCAGCAGGGACTGTGACATATTGAATCAGAAGTTGTTACAACCAAGTACCTTGCTGGGCTTGTGCTGAGAGGGTTATGAAAAGCTGGCAACTGTGGAGCCATTTTTAAAATGGAGTCATTCCAGAGAAAATGCATTACCCTTTGTCCTATGAACTGGGCCAAAATTAATTCTTTTAAGACATTATCAGGCAAATACTGAGAAGTCATCGCAGATGGATATGAACTTTTTGCCAGAGAACAGAATCTGTAACTCATTATATATAGCCAAAAGTAGTTCAAGCTTCACATGAATCAGCTTTTTTAACTACTTAATTCCACTCTTCCTGCCATAGCTCCCTGCCCCCTGCCTTTGTCCCTCCTTGAGGCATGTTTTAGATTTTCTACCTTTATCTCTGTCCCCTGAATTGCAATTCTTTGATCCCCAAAAATGTGCTTGCCTTTTAGTTACCTCCTACATTTTTAGGTTGGCAGGGTTAAAGACTGGGGCCTGAGACTGGCAGGTCAAGCAGGACCTGTCCTGATAAAGGGCTGCTTTGTAACCACAAGTCTGCGTTGTATCAGGGAGCCATGTAGCAGTTTGTCATCCTTGTTTAAGAGTGAGATGGATGATTCTGTACCTGGAGACATCTTCATTCCTCTCCCTGCCCCCTAAAGAAAAAAAAACAAAAAAACAATTGAGTTGTTTGGGTTGGTTTTCAGGCCACAGACTAATCAATGGCATTGCTACTAAATTTGAGGAGTTAAGGCTTTGTGTTCCACCTATTCTGGGAAGGGAAAGGACATTTTTATTTATACAAAGGGTAGTTATACCTTAATATAACTACAAAACAAGGTTTATAGTAAGGAAATTCAACTCTGAATAGAGGGCTATGAACGGATATTGAATAGGTGAAGGGGCAGAACATGCTGGTCATTAAGCTGTTGTCTTTCAGCTTCAAATATACCCTCTATCTTTGTATAATCAGCTTTGTGATGCTCTGACTGACTGGGACCACAAAAAGTACATTTATTATGTAGCTTTCTGCTAGGTTCTGCAAATAAGAGGTGGGGAAGAAGGGAGATCTACAGGAAGGGCCAGGGACTGGCTCCTTCCTCTTTCTTCCGATTTGCAGTATTATGACTTAAAAGATCTGTATTTGGTCATTCAGACTACCAAAATGTTTCTCACCTACAATAGTCTTCATTCACATTTCCTTGCTCACAACTTTCCCAACCCTTGCAATTTCCCAAATTGTAACAGCAGTGGGTGCTTCTTTAGCAGTATTTGGATGGTTTAGGTTTCCTCTTCATTTTAGCAGACACTGCAGTCCCTTTCATTTGATTAGGGGAAAATACACTTTAGTTGAATACGGAAATGAATTAAAAACTCAGGTTTTCCTTTAAAATCTCCTTTGCGTTTTTGTCTCAGAGCAGAAATGATGTGTGTCACCTAAGAGAGATCTCAGGTGGATTTAATGGAAAACTGCTAGCAGAGATCACTTGTGTCTGCCATTTTGTTCCAGTCACGCTATGGTACCCTCAGACCCCAGGCTACACACCTGCCTTGGCTGCCACCCCACTTCCTTGTTCTCTTTAGATGTGCACATTAAACTTTATAGACTCATCCAGGTTTCTCCACAAGCTTTTTTTTTTTTTTTTTTAACATGGCCCTTGATGTTAAATTATACTAAGGAAAATTAGGGCTTGTGTTTTTTCTTTTAAAGATTTATTTATTTATGCATACAAGAGCCGGGGTGTAGGCCAGAGGTGAAGGGAGGGGGTGAGAGGATTTACCAGGGACAGAGAGGAGCAGCAGTCAGCACAGGAGAGGTCTGCCTGTGCCATGTGGGTTAGCTCCCTGGCCTGCCAGGGATTGAACTCATGCCGCAGCGGCTACCGGTACGTTCTTAGTGCTGAGACTTAACCCCTTGCGCCACCAGAGATGCCCAGGGCTTGTATTTTCTAACTATATTTTCAAATAGAAGGCCTGTTTTATATTTATTGATAGAAGTATTTTGATGGGTGGTGCTAAAGTTGGGTTTTGTGAAGAAAACAAACTTCAGTTTGCAGCACCCATGTGGCATTTAAATTTGGTAGGCAGGTTCCATTCCCCTGGGCTTAAAAAATTTTTCACAATTATAAAAATGCTGTCATTTCTTACCTTATAAATAATTTTGTGGACAGCACTGATTCTTTCCATGTGGTAAATTCCTTGGGGGTAGGTGAGGGCAGTAAATCTCAACCAAGGGCTATGACTAATGAAGGGGGAACTGAAACTAGTACAGTAATAATAAAACACTGGAAGTTGTGAGATGGGTATTTTGTAATGTCAATCCTGTCCTCTGGAGGGATCAGTTTATAATTTTCAAAGTTGATAAATCAAAACTGACTTAGAGATGTGGGTGGAACCACAAAAAGTTAAGCAGGAATGATTTTTAAACTGTTAACATGTTAAAATCTGTCAGTTCCCATATGTTGTACATGGTATTTGTGGTTTTGGCTGACATGTAGCTGTACCCCAAGGTTTGCTGATCAACTAACGACTTAGTGATCAAACTGTGAAGTACTTTGTATTCTGGATTTTCCTTTATTATGCTTTATGTCAAATCTACCACTGTATGGGTGGAAATTGCCGTTTTTATGATGTAGTATTTCTACAAGTAAGTCTCTCCTTTAAACCACCACGGAGACAAATTGTCTTCATGCTGTGGGGAGCTGCAATGGCGTCACTTTTAACGGTATAGAATGATAGTAGGTCAGTGTATGCACCTATAAAGTCCTGGCTTTAACTGCAAAAAACAAAGAAAAGGTAATTGGGCAGGTAGGGGAAGCACAGTTTTTCATTATAGGACTCATTTCTCCCCCAACCTCGACCACATTCGACTTTGATAAAGTTTTGAAAGTTTGAAACTTTGAAAGTTTGGTCTATAATGAAAATTATTTGTTACAAATACAGTTTGCTAAGTTATCACCCAGGAAAAAAATATTAATTTAAATCCCCTTGAGGAACTTTTTGCTGGCTCTGAATTACTCCAATGATTTCCTGTCAATTCTCATCCATCCAAAAATTTTGAACTATCTTAGAAAAGTACACATAGTACAATTATGTGATATAAGTGAGGAATCTGGGGTAAAGTATGGGAAAAATAAGATGAGGGCAGGGACCAAAGAATCCACGGAACTGTTTGGAAATCTGTGGTCTTATCCCTGACCTGCTAAGTCAGTTTCTAAGGTAAACCTTTGCAATCTGCTATGTAGCATCCTCGATGATGTAATTTAAAAGAAGACAAGGAGGGGCTGATAGGATGTTAGGATATTTATTAATGTTCTGGTATTTAGACAATGGGAGCTAGAAGAACAGACATTGTGAGACTAACTCCAAAGAATACATCTAAAAATAAGTCATACAAACACTAGAATCATCCCTTCTCCCACCATAACATTTCATAATCTCTTTTGATTTCATTAATCTCCCCATGACAACCTCTTGAAAATGGGAGGGCTGGGTCTGTCCTTGTGTTTACTTTCACTCTTAATACGAATCTGCATCCTCTGGGAGTCTTCCCCTTTCTCTTGGCTTCATTCCTAGCCTATTGGACCATTAACCTGCATATTTCGGTGCTGGTGCATCTTTTACATATTGTACCGACAAGTTAAACAGACACCCAGAATGAGAAAAACCCTATGTATCAAGTAGCTGTGGTACTTCATCTTTCTTGCTGTGTATGTACTATTCTCAAAACATATTTTCACATGCCACATTAAAAGCTATAGTTTTAAAACACAGGATTCAGTATACCATAAATAGAAAAGGAAAGAGACAGAGTGATAGCTTAGTTTTACAATGGGATTAGGCATATATTAAACATTATACATTAAGAAAGCCTATCAGCTCACAGTGACTTCTGCTGTAGCTGTGACTTTTGTTCAATGATGTCTGAGAAACGAGGAACTTTTTTTGAAATAGCCACACGGATGTCATCGCTCATATTAAAGCCGCTTCTAGATTTTGTTTTAAAATGTAAAAGGGATGAAAATCCCAACTCACAAAGGTAAGTGGTTGCAAATGGCATAAGGATTTCTAGAGCTGTCTTTGCCAGGCTTGGAAACACTGTGAACTGAGCACACCAGAAATCCTCCAGCTTCATCGTCTCAAATTCCATTAGGATTTGGCCGCTAGCTCGCAATTCAGCAAGATCATTTTTCATTAAATAACCATCATCAACAAAATCCAGATTAAACAGGAATGGGTCCAATATCCATTTACTTGCCTCATCAAGATCTCCCACGGAAAAATACCCGTGGAAGAAGCTGCTTAACCGTTGCAGATGCAGGGTTATTTCCGTTGCCACGCAGACTGCCTCGTGATCTGAAACAATGATTTCTTCAAGAAAAGGAAAGTTGGTAAAATTTTTTTTCTCAATTCGTTTTAGCCAGAATGGAAACTTCCTGACAAAAGCAGACAACTTCTCTCTGGCTGATACTGTGTTCATGCCAGTCCTTTGCATAGATGCACTGAGTTCATTGAGGTGTTTGAACAAATCTGCAAGGTATGCTAGATGAAGTTTAAACTCTTTATTTTCAAAGCTATCAACTAAATTACTGCTTTGGTGGTGAAGAAACTGATTTATTTCTTCATACATTTCAAAAATATGAGTCAGTATTTGGCCCCGGGAAAGCCACCTCCTTTCAGTGTGGAAAAGGAGAACACTATACTCGATTCCAATTTCTTCAAAAAAGGCCTGAAACAGGCGATGGTTGGGTGCCCGCCCTTTGATGAAATTGACCACCCTAACCACAGTAAACAGGGCTTCCCTCAGTTTCACAGGCAATGTCTTTGTGACCAGTTCATGGGGGTTCAATAAACAATGAGTGATCACGACGTGTGGAACCTCTTTCTTCACATGAGCAACAAACTCTGAATTTTCTCCTAGCATAGAGGAGGCCCCATCAGTGCACACTGAGCCACATACATCAAGTGCTATCTTATGTTTCACAAAGAAATCTCTGAAGAGGTGGAACACATCTACTCCTTTCACTGTTAACTGCAAGGGTTCACAGAACAGGAATTCTTCTATGATCTCTCTTTCTTTTATGTATCGCACAAATGCTATTAGCTGGCTGCAGTCGTCCATGTCTGTGGTCTCAGCAAGCTGAATACCCACTTTAAGAGGACTGGCTTTGATATCTTCTAGAACTTGCTGTAAGATGTCCTGGCTCATTTCATCAATTCTGGAGTGGATCACATCATCTGATAAGGGTACCTGCTGAAGCTTCTTTTGTGCATCTGGTCCCAAAACTATTTGAGCTATTTCCAACGCACAAGGTTTCACTAATTTTTCAGCTATTGTGTGAGGATTCTTCTCTTTGGCACATAAATATGCAAACTGATATGATGCCTGCAATAAGGCATCCTCATGAGATGCAACTCCAAATGCTTTCAACGTTTCACTCTGGTCAGACGGGGCTGGCACGTGCTTCAGGCTGTTGAGGTCATGTCCACCCACGCCACCATGCTGTCTGTTAAAATGGTCTGACAGTTTTGATGGTCTGAGATCAGCATTTGAAAATACGGAGTTACACAACACACACTGCGGACGCTGAGTTCCATCGACTTCCGTCGTACAGGTGAACCAGTAACGTACATAGTCATCATCCCATTTACGTTTCTTCGACATGGCACACAAAAACGCTCAGGCAGTATTCCAATGATGCTGCGGAATTGTGCTTTGGGAGTAAAATATTATCCATGCATTAGAAATCAGTGGTTAATGGAATTAAAGCCACATCCTATGCCATCCTGTCACGCGTACACATGCTAAGAAACAGCCTGCAACAAGTCAGAGCAAACGACATCCACCCAAGTGAAAACTGACAACTCAAAGCGAATGTCCTAGAATAAGTGATTGAACAGTAAATTGTGAAGATCTGGGCTTCACAATTGGGAGAACTGGGCTTATGCAAGTTGTGATTATCCCCCGTATGTCCTTGTTTATGGTTCAATCTGTTTTCAGTGATGTACGTTCCAAACAAAACTAGTGCATTTTATATCTTCAGAAAGGAAATCTCACTACCACCCCCTGCTTCCATCCTGTAGGATGGAAGGATGTTATGAAACACCAATGACAAGGGAGTAATCCACTAGCTACTCCAAGGGAAGAGAGATCTTGACATGCTGGCTGGTGCGGTTACATAGGTGGGGGTTAAACAGAGCTTTAAAACCACTGGATTCCCTGAGTGGCTTTGATTGCAACTTAAGCCAAGAATTTTAAACAGGTCTGATATTTTAAGTTACCCTTGACATAAAAACAGGATACAAATTTGGCTGGGAACTTCTTTGCAGCTAAAGTATAGGCACTATCAGCCTATTGTTCTCACTTTTCATTCAGAAAAGCAAAACAAGTTGCTCAGGAGTAACAGTCATAACTATTCTTGTTGCTGAGACTGCAGAAAAATTTCTCTCATAGAAGAATTTCAACAGGAATTTCATGGTGCTTTCTCATTAACTACCCCTTGGCAGAACCAGTCAAGAAAAAGAATGATGCTTGCAGCCTCCATGGCGCGGGTTCGATCACCGGCTGCTCCCCGGCCACCAGAGGAGGGTCCCACATGGCGCGCAGACCTCTCCTGCCGCCCGCTGCTCCCCTCAGCAGTGTACTTCGGTCCTTCTGCCTGCTCTGCTCTCCGCTCAGGCTCTGGTAAATGCTCTCACCCCCCTCCCCCCACTGCGCTTCTGACTGTATCCAGTGCTTGTATAAATAAATAAATAAATAAATCTTTAAAAAAAAGAAAAAGAATGAAACAGAATGAAAATAAGCAGCAATAAGCAGCATTCTTAAGATTTGGCTTAAGCCAAGCAAAGGATGTAGAAGGCAGTGATTCTCTAGTTTAGTTAATGGAGGAATCATCTAAGTCTTGGGCTAAAATGCAGATCCCTGACCATCCCCAGAGATTCTGATTCCTTAACTTTGGAGTAGGGGCCCAGAATCTGTGCTCAAATTAAGCATTTAGATGATTATTATTAGTAACTATAGTCAAGGCAGTATTCCAGTGATGCTGTGGAATTGTGCTTTGGGAGTAAAATATTATCCATGCATTAGAAATCAGTGGTTAACTGAATTAAAGCCACATCCTATGCCATCCATTGCTTAGCAATGGAGAGTAGTTCTGAGAAATGTGCCATGAGATCTTGTTGATATGACGTCATAGAGTATAACTACATAAGCCTAGATGGCATAGCCCAGTACAGGTTGTATGATATAAGCCTACTGGAACCAAACCAGCACTGGTGGTCTGTTGTTGATTGAAATCCTAGCAAGCCATGCATGACCGCAGAACAGTAATCTTTAACAAGGGATGCCCATCCCAATCCCTGGAAGCCCCTTTGAAAGCACATAGGGTGCTGTACTCCTTCAGAACTGACAAATTATCTCTCAGAGTGGGACAAAAGAATCAAAAATAAAGCTGTCTAGATGATTACAAATAGCCAGATTTAAAGGAATGAAAACATATCCTTGAGATCATTCCCTAGCTTGCTCATATTCTAGTTTGCCAAGTCAAGTCTCAATGCTTTGACAGTCATTTGAGCTTTGAGTTGACCTCCTCAAAAGAAAGTCATACCTTTTCTCTTTAACTCCCTCATCAACAATGTGCAAAGGTTTAATCCACACGTAAGCTCAGATATACCTATCTACAGACAAGTACCACCCCCAGAGTTGCCAAAATTCTGTGCTGTAGAACATGCCTGAAACAACAGGGACACATTTCACTCCAAATGCTACTTTGGCCATTAAAAAAAAAAAAAAATCACAATCAGCCAAGAATATTTACCTAAAGCACTCACTTTCTAACAGCCCTGCAAAGATTAGGTAATTGTAAAATGTACTTCAGTGAAACTAATAAGCTGACCTGCTATATGAGCCCATTTAAGACAGAAGATTCATGATTTTGAAGTTCAAAGAGTTGAGCTTCAGCCTTTTGTCAAGTGAGGTGATGATAGTGCCAACGGTGTTTGGAACCTCTACTATCTGCAAAAAAAATTATGATGTCAGCATAAAAAATGCACATGTTTCTGCTTTGTATATTTTGGGGAATGATGCAGAAGGGATGAAGGCAAGAGCTTTACTTCAGTCTCATTAGGAATTATTTCAGGACTGTTGAGGAGGTCATTTCAATCCACCCTGACTGTACTACTCAGTTATATTTTGAAGATCAATGTTTTTAACAAGAGTTTTTAGAAAAGCTCATTTATAGCATTCTTCTCTGGCCCCTCCAAAAAGGGTGAATAGGTAACAAGAATTTTCCAAGATCCTTGGAAAAAGATGAACTTACCGCCTAAGAGGCTTTCTTGTGTTGAGAAACTCACAGCTTTCACTTGCTCCTTCGTGTACTTAGCAATCACAACATCCTAAATAAGATATGTAAATGTTAAAAAAGCATTATCAATATTAAGAAATCAGTGTTCATTTAAACAGGTGTGACAATGTTATTGTCATTGTGCCTTTAAGTGTTCATTTGTAGGCGATAGAGTAATTATTTGCAAATTAAATGATGTCGGGGATTTCATTTGAAATGCTGTGCTTCTGTGCACATGCACGTGTACAAACGTCCATACGTACACACACACACACACATACACACAGGGGCAGAGTGGGCTGGAGATAGGAAATAAGGCAAAAAAGGTGGGTCGTAAGCCCGTGGCTGTCACAGATGAATGTAGCTGGGTACACAGCAGGGTACCATTCTCATTAATTTTACGTATGCTGGAATGTTCCATCATAAACAGTAAAATACACAAAAAGCGTAATAGATTTGCTTCGTTTTCTGAGTGACTTGAGTCTTCGAAGAGCGAGCATTAGATGCAGAATGAAAGCTCTCTCCCAGGAAAATGGCATGTCTTCGCAAGCGGATAAGCAGAAGGGTAGAGTACGGCAAAGTATCACCACTGAGAGCAAAAGCAGTCAGTGAAATGTGGCCATTCCCCGAGCCACAAGGCGGGGGAAACGCGAGAGCAAACCCCCCGGCCGTGACCAGCAGAACGCAGCCGCGAACCCGCTACGGACGCGACTGCAGGTTACTTCCACCTGCGCCGCCCGCGGCGGGGGCGGGGCGGGCCGGGAGGCGGAGGCCCCACAACCCTGGCGCGGCGGGAAGCCGGGGCCGGGCGGAGGGGGCGGGGTCGCGCAGCCGGCGACCGCGGCTTCGCCGCCCCCGGGGCTCCCTCGCGCCCGCCCGCGGCGGCGGGCTGCCCGGGACCTACCTGCGGCGGCGGCGCGGGGCGCACGCGCAGCTCGGCCCTGGGGGCCGCGTACTGGGGGCCGCGCGTGACGGGGCGCGGGCGACGGGGCTCCGCTCGACCCTGGGCAGAGCAGGTCACGGCGAGGCTTCAGTTCTGCACCCCGCTCAGCCTGCTGCCCAGTTGGGGGCGTCGGAACCTCGGGTCGGAACCCTGAGCAGAACCCGCGTAGCGCGGAGAGACGCGCTCTCCCGCCGCACCCTCCGCCCCGACCGCGCCAGGTTTCCATCCGGGTCTCCGGGCGGCCTCCCACCCCTCCGCCCTGGCTGCGCCGGGCTTCCATCCGGGTCCTTCGGGCGGCTTCCCGCCGGGAGTCGGGCGAGGCGCTGGGCACACGCAGCCGCACTAGCACGCCGCCGGCCCGCGCGGCTGATGCACGGCGCGTGCGCGCGGGCCCGCCCCGGGTTTGGGCTCCGCGGTGCTGTTGGGCCTATGGAGCTGGTAGGTTACCTTGTCTGCCAGAAACAGTGAGTCGTGGAATCTCAGGCACGGAAGACACCTCCCCACACAGTGCTACTTTTTAACTTTTTTTAGAGCCCTGTCAGACAGGGCAAGCTAGGGTTATTAGGCAGTTTTAGGGGAAGTGCAGGAGGGGACCCCTGAAGAATTTAGGGAGGCTTCAGAGATAAGGACAAGCAAGGAAATGAAACCAATTTCACTGGGAAAAACAAACTTCCTAGCACCATTGTTAACACTAGGGGAAAAACAAACATCCTAGCACCACAGATAATCTTGTTGAGGATGGTCCTGGTTTTTTTTTTTTTAGACAATAAGATAAAGTGTAAAGATGCTCACCGGGAGGGCTAGACCATAAAGGTAAAGCGATAAGCATAACAAATGGGAAAAGAAAATACTGTTAAAATAAGGAATGTGAAATTGCTCAGTACCCCCTGAGAGCTAGCCAATCAGGAAGGGAGACTGAACTTTTAACATAATGAGAGAAAAAAAGTATATATTGCCAATGTAATATCCCATACCGGCTCATCTTGGCCCCTCCCAGGTACTTTATACCTGGGAGTCTTTCTTCTTTGTCTCTTTTCTTCCTAAATAAACTTTTCTTTCAAAGACAAGATTTGTCTCTCTCTGCTTACTTACTCCAAAAGTCTGTGAATTCCTTTCTACGGTTTCGCGAGACAAGAACTCGTGGTAAAGCAGCAGCAGTTGTTACACATGCCGGCATCACCTGGAAATAAAAGTTTTTATTGCGTGGGCCTTGAGCTTCAAGATCAAGTTTCCATAGTGACCATTTACCATGTGGAATAGATGAGGAAAAGGAAGCTCGTTGTGTTATAGAGCAACCCCGATATTAAACGGGTTCCTGGCTGTGGGTCCTCACCCGCGCGCTTTAAAGAGACTTATGAATACTCTACTACAGACACATGCAAAAGGGTTAATAAAAGGTTTATTTACAAGAGAAAAGGAAATAAGGAAAATGTACAACTCAGGGAGAAAATAGGGAAATAAAGTCTTTAATGCGTCCTACCCGATCCGACGACCTGGAAACCCAAAGTCACTCTCAGCTGACCGGACGCTGCTGCTGGCCAAGAGCCCAAAAATGGAGAGCCCCCCAAAGCCCACGTGTCTGCCTTTTGTATCCACCTGGCTGCTTAACCCCACCCTCAGGTCCCAGCCACCTTCCCTTTGGTGGTGATGGGATTTGGAGTTCCCAGTGTCTTTGGCTTTGACCTGGGGTGGGGGTGGAGTCCACAAAGCCTATATGGAATTTGCTTTGGGACATCCTTTTCCCCCTAACAATTCCCCCCTTTCACTTGTTGCCACCATTTCCATGGTGATGAAGATCGAATATATGGAGGTTGGGATGCAGTCTCAGATGAACATTTTGTCAGGTTCCAGTGTGAAAGAAAACCAGTCTCTCCAGGTATTTGTCCATTGTGGAAAGCAAAAGTCCTCCACTCCAGGAAAAATAGTTCATCAGTTTAAGCCAAAAAAAAAATCTGGAGACGTTAGCCAAAACAAGACAGCAGATATGTAAAAATTACAGGGAAAAAAATCTTAAAATGGTTCAACTGATGTAAAAAAAAACCACAAATTTTCTCAACCTTGATCCCAAACTTTTAACAGCAAAGCAAAAGTTTGCAAACTAAATCTACTTTTAAACCATTTTTCCTATTTTTGCATAAAATCACAGGGCAGAAAATAACTAACAGCAATTTTTAGCTGGCTTTGTTGAAATACTTCATACAGGATCAGAGCGAACCGGTGGCATCCAGTCGATGTATGCTTCAGGTATAAAGTTGGTCTCATCAGACTCCACCTGGGCTTTCCTCTTCTCGAGGGTACCAGGGCTTTTTTCGTTGGCCGGGTTGTCCAGTCCTGCCAATGGAGGCAAGCTTCCTCACCTTCTTTGGAGGTCTCTGGAACCCTACAAACAAGGCAAACAGGTTCTCCTCTTCTTGGTTCAGCTCTTTTTCAACTTTTTGGAAGAACTCCACACAAAGCCACACAATCAAACTCGCGTCCAATTTTTTTAAAACAGACAAAATCCCTATGGAAGTTATGCAAAAACAGACTCTAAGATAAGTAGCAAAAATTACTACCACTATTTGTATGCTGTGTTGGTATCAAGGGGAGAGAAAATGTGACAAGTTAGTTTTGCTGGAAAAAAAATTACAACCTTTCTGCAGATCCTGGTTACTCAAAACAAAACAAAACAAAACAAAACAAAAACTTCGTGGATTCAGGACAGAATGCATAAAAAAAATTTCCAGTATGTCAAAGAAACCTTAGTAAATGTCAGGTGTATTTCCAGGTCTATTCAGTCCTTTGTAGGAAAGTTTTTTTTCTCTCAACAGTTCCATCAATAGGAATCTGTTGAGACCTTTTCTCCCTATATTTCCGGAAACAATTTCTGTAGGTGTGAAACAATTGAATTATACAATATTACAAGGTGACAATCACCATTGACAATTTACATACATACCAGATACTACTGTTAACATTTTGTACATACCAAAGTTTTACCATTTTCCCAAGTGACAATGCTTCCCTTCCAGTTTTACTTCATTAGGTAAAAGCCAAATAGAACAAATTCATGTAATGCCTTCCCAGGAGGAAAAGGAGAAACTTCGTGGAGTGTCTCAGGAGCTCTACTGAGGTTCCACAAAATTTCCTTGCATCAGTCAAATGACAGGCTACCAAATTTGTACTTGAATTTAGATTTCTGGGAAGCTTTGCCATAGATATCAGAAAATTAACAGAAACAACAATATTCAATCTCTATGAAGGCACCGGCTTAGTTCAGTAGCACAATGTTGACAATCAAACCATAACTTTTTTTTTTCTCATGACTGGAGACTTTTTTTTTTTTTTCAATGTCTGTGGGCACCATGTATACCAATTTGTCAATCACTGGAGGTCAAGACGGTTTGACACAAGGACATACTGACAGACAACATATAGACACAAAGAGCTCTTTAGTTACTATTCATCACGTGGGGGATATCCCATACAACTGCAGTTTGTCTGATAGGCCAAAGTAACAATAAAAAAACAAGCAGGAAAAAAGAACTTCAAAGTAAAAAAAAAAAAAACAAAAGTTGATAGGAAATAACAAAATCAAGATTAAAAACCTTTCTATGTAAAAAAAAATACTGTCAGCATGTGCATGATCCTAGATGTTATTTCACATCTCCTAAACTTTGAAAGGAAGAGATTGGTTAGAGCATGGTAGTTTTTTATTTCTCAGGGTTTCTTCAAAAAAAAAAACACAAAAAAAACAAAAAAAACAAAAACGAGTTCTTGGGTATCCTGCAACAATAACTGGAAAAGGAGTCAGTAACATTCAAGTTTCTTTGTTTCTTAAATAAATATCTCAAGTCTTCAATGGGTTCACAAGACCAATGGGACTTCGTCTCTGGGTCGGTTCCTTCTGGCGCTTTCTTAACTCTGGAATGATGTACCCAGGGTTTTATACCTGCAAGTTTTAGAGAAGTATGTGTGCTTAGCAAAACGTCATATGGACCAGTCCATTTTTCTGACAACTGGTTTTGGGCATCCCCACTCTGCCAGGTCTTCAGTAAGACCTGATCTCCAGGTTTGAAGGGATGCAATGGTTGATCAGGAGGCATAGAGATTCTCGAGGTTGCAAAGTTATGAATTACTGCCAGAACCTCCTGGATGTGTTTCACATATTGTGTGATCCGGCAATCTTGAGCTATTTCCGGACTGGCTTTTAGAACTGACACCTGGAAGGGTCTTCCAAACACAATTTCAAAGGGGCTTAATTGTAGCCCACTTCTAGGTGCCACTCTTATGCGGAGGAGGGCAAGGGATAGTACCTGGTCCCAACGAAGCTGTGTTTCTTGGCACAGTTTCGCCAAGGTTTTCTTTAAGGTGTGATTCATTTTCTCCGTTTGTCCAGAAGACTGTGGTCTCCATGCAGCATGCAATTTCCAGTTGATCTGTAATGCACTGCTTACTGCATGAGTAACATCAGAGACAAATGCTGGCCCATTATCACTCTGGATAGAATCCGGCAACCCAAAGTGAGGAATTATCTCCTTTAGCAGCTGTTTTGCAACCTCGGAAGCTTTTTCCGTCTTTGTGGGAAATGCTTCCACCCATCCCGAGAACGTATCCACAAAAACCAACAGGTATTTGAAGTTGCCTGTTGTTCTAGGCATTTGTGTAAAGTCCACCTGCCAGTCCTCAAAAGGGCACTTGCCTCGATATTGAACCCCAACAGCTTTGGGGTGGGAGTCAGTCTTGGGGTTATTCCTGGCACATAGTTGACAACCTCGGGTGATCCGTTGTGCTATTCTATGCAAATATGGTCCCTTCAAATATGGGCGCACAGTTTCTAATAAGGCATCTCTCCCATAGTGGGATCCTTCGTGAAGATGTTTTAGCACTGGATATACCAGGGCCTCCGGGAGGAGTATCATCCCATGGGAGTTTACTCTCCAAGTAGAGCTGGGGTCAAACTCAGTAAATCCCCATGCACGAGCTCTCTCCTCATCCCGCTCGGTGTATTCAGGAGCATACTGAGTCAGGTCCACAAGAGGGATGAGTGCACCCTGGAGGGCAGAACGGGCAGCGGCCTTAGCTGCCTGATCAGCTGCCCTGTTGCCCTTTGCCAAGTCAGACCCACCCTTTTGGTGGCCGGGACAGTGCATCACAGCGACAGCTGATGGTAAAGCTACTGCCTTTAACAAGGCCAGGATTTCTAATGGGTGTTTGACATCCTTGTTGCTAGCCGTAAGTAGTCCCCGCTCCTTCCAAATGGCCCCATGCAT